CGTGCGCGTGTATGACTGGTGTATGACTGGGAACTGTATGCAATTTATGAAGCCTTTCGACGCTGGAGACATTTGTTAATAGGGGCGCAGCACAAGATCCAGGTGCGCACGGACCACAAGAACCTGGAATACTGGAGGACTGCACGAGTACTCAACCAGCGACAGGTGCGATGGGCGCAGGAGTTCTCCAAGTTTTTCTTTGAGATTCGGTACGTGCCGGGAGAGGAAAACGTCAGAGCAGACGCCCTCTCCCAGAAGCCGGAGTATATGGAAGGAGAAGGACCACCAGAAGCCCGACATGTAATCCCCGAGAACCGATGGGTGTGGGGGGAGTATTAATAGAGAGGGGAGAACTAGCCGGACTGACGAAGGACGACGAGTTTGCCCAAACCAAAATCAGGGAACTCAGGGGCACGCGGGAAAACCATGGGGGTTTTGAGGAGAAAGAAGGGGTACTGTATTACAGGGGAGCACTGTACGTACCAGGGGATGACTTGAGGAGAAGGGTACTCAAACAGCTCCATGATAACCTGACGGTGGGGCATTTCGGTCAACACAAAACCATGTTGCTGGTCACCAGGCAGTTCTGGTGGCCAAGGGTGAGGGAAGATGTACGAGAGTACGTACGAGGGTGCGACTGCTGCCAGCGAGCAAAGGGGGAGAGGGCGGCGCCCGTGGGATTACTAGAACCCTTACCCACACCGGGAAGACCATGGGAGGTGGTATCCATAGATTTTATGACCGATTTGCCCAAGTCAAGGGGTAAAACCGCCGTCATGGTGGTCGTCGACCTGTTAACAAAAATGTGCCACTTTATCGCTTGCTCACATGCAGTGACGGCAGAGGAAACTGCCAGGCTGTTTGTAGATCACATCTTCAGGCTGCATGGCGCCCCCTTAAGGGTTTTGTCCGACCGAGGGAAGCAATTTACTTCCAGGTTTTGGAGGAAGCTCATGAGCTTGCTGCAAGTTGAGGTAAGCTTCTCAACGGCCAGACACCCGGAGACCAACGGGCAAGCGGAAAGAGCGAACAGTATTGTCAGGGCTCAGGAGCAGAGGCACAGGGGAGAGAGGAAATGGAGAGCGAAGAGGAAGAATCTGAGGGCAGCGTAGGGGAGTATGACAGTGACCCGAGAGATTCCATGAGCCTCTCCAGCGAATCAGAAGATTCCCAGAAGGGGGCGCCGATGGTCAGGGCAAGGGGGTCCCAGGGGGGACGCACCAGAAGCAAGGGGCCAGCGGGGACTCCCAAAGCAGCAGCGGGAGATCAGGACCAGCTTCCCCACCAGAGCGTAGCAGGGGGGAAGAGTCCCATGTGTCAGGGCCAGCGTCTCCTCCAGCAGGGAGAGAAGATGAGTCAGGGCTGACCACGCCTCTATCGGAGAGTGGGGAACGGAGGGGAGGTCAGATCCAGCTAGCCTCCCTGAAGGGGGAAGCAGTGACAGGAGCAGTGTAACGGTCAGGAGGAAGGTGACCGGCTGGGCGCGCGCGCCAAGTTCGAATGTACAGGCGCGCGGGACAGCAGAAAACCCAGATTGGGAACCAGGTCCTAAAGCCCGCCGGAGGCAGGGGAAGAATCAGGGGACTCAGCGTCAGAAGAGTCTAGGAAGGGGAAGACTCCAGTGGACAGGCGGACCCAGAGGAGGAAAGAGCAAAGGAAGAGGTGGAGCAAGGCTAGAGTCTTAAACTGGTGTCTGGGGGGAGGAGACTCAGACGGAGCTTCGGCGGTCTAGAGTTTGAGACGTAGAGCTGCGCGCCGCGGCTGTGAAAGTGAAACTGAGCTTCAATAAAGACTGTTTTATATAACAACGAACTGGCGTTGGTCCTTTGTGAGCTGGGACCTAGGGCAGCTCTGACAAGTATACTCCAACAATACCTATGCTGCTATGTCAGCGAGAGGCAGAACGATTGGGTGGAGAAACTAGCGTTGGCCGAATTTGCGTACAATAACGCGGAACATGTGTCCACGGGTATGAGCCCGTTCATGTCCAATCATGGATGTCACCCCAGGGCCTTCCCAGGGGGAGGGGAGGAGAGGTGGAGTGTACCAGCAGCGGAGCAGTTTGTGGAAGAAATGGAGGCCTTACACCAACAACTTAAGATGAACTTGGAACAGGCCAAGGAAGTGTATAAGAGGCAGGCCGACAAGCACCGTAGGGAAGGAGAAACCATACGGGTGGGGGACCGGGTGTGGTTGTCAACCCAAGGGTTACCGTTCAAGGGAGGTTGCAAGAAGTTGTGGCCAAGGCGGCTGGGACCTTTCGAGGTAACACAGCACGTTAATCCAGTGGCCTTTAGACTCAAGTTGCTGACCAGCATGAAACTACACCCAGTGTTCCATAGATCCCTACTCTCTCCGTACAGGGAGGGACTGGAAACTCTGGGGCGAGAGAGAGAGGTCCCCACTCACCCACACGTAGAGGAGAGGGAGCTCAGTAGTCAAGCCACGGAAATACTCGATTCAAGATGGCGAGGGGGACAAGTGGAGTATTTGGTGGCTTGGGAGGGGGAACCAGAATCGGAAAACACGTGGGTTCCGGTGGAAAACATCAGGGATGAGTATCTCCGGGGGGAGTTTCACGGCAGGTTCCCAAGGAAGCCCAAACCTACAGCGAGGTTCTGGGAGGAGCAATTTGGCACCACAGATGAGGAAGAAGATTTTATGGGGTTTCCAGCCTCTGAAGAGGAGGGAGGAGAAGTATCCGAGGGAGAGGAATCGGACTGGGAAGAGTACCCAGTGCAAAGAGATAGCAACAGGTGGAGAGAAATGGTTGAATCTTCGGAGGAGGGGGATAGCTCCTTCCGGGGATTCCCCGCATCACCGTCAGGGGAAAGGGAGGAATTTAGGCCAAAGGAACGGGACGGAGGTGAGGGGGGTCCTGGGGGGGAGGTGGATGTCAGAGAACTGCCATCGGAGCCTAGAGTGGAGGTAAGGCTCCCCAACGATGCAGGAGAAGGGACCAGCAGGGGGAGAGAGAACACTTCCTTTGAGGAAGGAAATAGGAGTGACACCAGGAAGCAAGGGGAAACTGCGGAGAGAGGGCTCCAAGACTCTTCCACAGAGACCAGCGGGGAGAGCACAGGACCTCCGTTGGGCACGCCCACTCTGCGCAGGAGACTTCCACGCAGGGAGGCGAGGAGGAGACTTGGCGTCAAAGAGTTTCTATGTTGGAAGAAGTTCAGGAAACGCCCACTGACGGATTCTGCCAGCGACTGACACAGCCATGGAGAAAGGGCTGTCCAGCCAGGGAAAGGTTTAGCCAGGCTACGTTGCCTAGAACAGTAGCACCCTTTACGCACAAGCAACCCCCAACAACCATTACAGAAAGCAAACAAACTTAGCAGATAACAATAATTACCGTATCTTTCGCACCATAGGGCGCACTGGACCATAGGGCGCACCCAGTTTTTTGGGGGGGAAATAAAGGGGGGGGGAAATTATTTTTTCCCCAGGCGCGGGGCTGGGGCGGGGGAAGCTCGAGCTTCCCCCGACCCCAGCCCCCAAACAGGCAGCTCTCTGCAAGCCGTGGGAGCCCAGCGCTGGCTCCTGCTGCTTGCGGGGAGGTCCGCGAAGCCTGGACGTGCTGATCTCAGCACGTGCAGGCTTCGGCATGCCGGCAACTCTCCGCAAGCAGCGGGAGCCCAGCGGGAGCTGCTTGCGGAGAGGTGTGCGAAGCCTGGAGAGCGTGAGGGGTTGGTGCGCACCGACCCCTCTCACTCTCCAGGCTTCAGCGAAAGCCTGCATTCGCACCATAGGACGCACACACATTTCCCCTTCATTTTTGGAGGGGAAAAAGTGCGTCCTATGGTGCGAAAAATACGGTATATGGAAATGTGATAATAATATTGAAATGAATCAAATGTTTAACACGCTAAGGTTTTATTATTTGCAGCTTCCCAAGATAACTCAAGGAGGTGATTTTTATTTATTTATTTATTTATTTGCTTTTGCCCCTTCCTTTTCTAACTGTTTCTAAAAAACCCTGCCCCCTTACAGGATATCACTTCTACAGATGTTAATGCAGACCCAATGATGGAAAACCCTCAGCCCAACTCCTCCTGACTACAAGGCTATTTATTACCTGCAGCAACAACAACAAAAGACACCAGCGTGGCCACAGCTATCTCTTTCAAAGGATATAGACTGACGGGGAAGTGGGGCTGACAAAGGGGAGAAAGTTGAATTGCAAGGACATTCTCACTTTTTAACCTCAAGACTCTGTGCTCCAGGATTGAAAAGATATGTAAAAGATCACGATTGCCTCAAGATATTTAATTAGTTTGTTGTGTATTATGTGTTACTATGTAGGAATGTTGAAATGTGTTTGACAGAGTGTTATTTCCACAAAGGATTAGGGCAATTTTTGTGTGTCATTGTTTTATGTTTAATGTATACTGTCTTATTTTTTACACCCCAATGAATTATTCTCATGCATTTTATGCTTTCTAATAGATCAGGCTATTGCATAGTCCAATGTTTAGATTAGATCAATTTATGACCACATTTCCTTGTCCCACCTGGCACTCTACCAACCTTCCCTACCCATTTTAAAACGTGTTTTAACTCGTTTACCAAGGAGAAGCTTCAGGATCCATGAAAACACCAGATACATGAAGGTATATATGCTTTGATTTAGCAGGACTGATCCCTTATAGAGTTAAATTGACTAATTTGGACAAGTGCCCCTTTTAAGAATGGTTTTGTTTTAGCATTGGTTTAGAATGCGTTAACCATGGGGCTAAATATATTCTAATTGGGCTCAGTTCTAACTGGGCATGTATCCCAGGTGCACTGAACTTTCTCTGGTCCCCTTAGAACAACTGAGCAACTTTCCTAGAGTGCAAGACCAACACTAATAATAATAATAATAATAATAATAATAATAATAATAATAATAATAATGCAATCCCATAGAAAGGCAAAGACATCTCTCTCATGAAATGTCCAAACCTATGCCAGGGACAAGGCGACATGGTCAAGATGAAAGCCCTAAGACTCACCTTTGGCCATGTTGCCTGTTGCAGAAAGACAAGCTGCCATCAAGGTTCACAGCGGTCCAGAAATCCTGCATTAAAAACACCAAAAGTCATTTGCAGAACTCCTGGGGGACTCTCAGTGTTGGAAACTCAGTTTCTCTCCTGGGACTTTCCTGCTACTGGAGTCCTTAGCCAAAAACAAAGTTTGGGGAATACGTAAATCAGTCCTCTCTGATACCTAAGTCTGGTCGCTAAGGAAGCAACATTCAATGAGATAAAGGTTGCTGGCCCTCTACCTTGGCTCCAGTGAAAACAAATGAACTCCTTGTGAGGGGTCTAAGTCCAAAAGGGAATCATAGAAACTGGAAGAAGCAAAACTTAGAGGTCCTTCCATTCCCACTTGTTGTACAAGGCAAGAACGTTTGCAGTGTAATAAAAAAATTCAAGGTCACACACACACACACACACACACACACACTATATATATATATATATATATATATATATATATATATATATATATATATATATAAACTAAATGTTCATAAATGTACCAAGCAAACATGTACATAAAAATATAAACCACATGTCTGGAGCAGCACAGTCCTGAAACCATTTTGACTCCCAGACTGACCAAATGTTTCTCTGCCAGGAGGGAGGGAGTGAGGGAACCTTCCCATTGTCTCAGGAATTAAGTGATTACCATCTCAAAGGAATGGCCAGACTACCAGAAAAGGCAATCAGATAAGGCATTATCAGATAACCTGGCAGACAGCAAAAACAACAACATTCAAATTTCTGTTGTAGATCACCTTTTCTGTGGTGTAGGTATGATGTTTGTGGGGGGTGGTCTTGGGTAACAGGGCAGGGAATTTAAAATGTCTATATAAAGGCAGGCACACCTTTGTTCTGGGTCCTCCTGCGTGTGAGGGGAGCACCTTATTGCAACAGTTCAATAAAGATCAGGCTTACGAGCTGCTTTGCTTCTCAATATTCTCTGGTTGGCCTCTGTTATTTTTTCCGTCCGATGGAGAACCTACAAAGGACTCTATAAGGGAATAAAGGCAGATAAGCTCAGTTCTGGGTAAACAGGGTTACATATCAAACTCTAAACCGAATGATTTCACCTGAAAACGCCCCTTCTACATTCTAGTCAGTTTCACAAGAAGATCAAATCAGTCAACCCAATCTAGTCACTTTTACTGTGGGGTCAGTAAACGTGGCAGGCTGATTTTCAGCATTTCTTAATTGTGCTATTTTACAACAACAAAACAATATACAGAGGATGTGTCCGCAAATCAGAGCCAGAGGACTCACAACCTCACAGCTTTGCAGCCAGAGACCCCACATCTGTACTTTAATGTCACACCGAAGAGGGAGCAAGCTTGTTTTCTGTTGCTCCAGAGGGCAGGACCCAAACCAGAGGATCTGATTTACAAAAAAGGAGATTCTGACTAAGCCCTAGGAGGAACTTTCTGAAGGCAAGAACTGTTTGGTGGAACAGACTCCCTCAGAAGGTGGTGCAATCTCCTTCCTTGTAGGTTTTTTAATGGTCTTGGAATCTAGGGGGGGGCAGCATTGCATCTCGCAGGAAGAAGGAGAAAGGACCTAACCGGTGGCTGTGCCTTTTTGGAGGTAGGGCGTTTGTGGAAGCTTTTACCACCTGACCTCTCCTTCACACGCCTCCAAAAAGGGGTGAATCCTTTTTGTACATCCTAGACTTATGACTTACAATTTGGCTGGCATGCATGACTTTGGTATGGAAAGGCGAAAATTTATAAAAGTTTTATGGACCATATCCTTAGGAAGAATCTGTATAGAGTTTGGGAGAAATATAAAAATATACTGGAAAGGAAAACACCTTTATGGCTATCTCCTGTTGAGGCTATTACAATTAAGAGAGTTAATATGGATAGACAGTAGGTGACTTACAGGGAATTGCTGTATTTTACAGGGGCAGAACCTAAACTGAAATCAATGGAAAATGTAAGGAGCCATATTACGGATTGGTTGCAATACCATCTGTCACATGAAATGTTTAAAGTAGATAGGAAGAATGGTTTTTCAGACTAAAGCTGACAATTCAAAAAAGAACTTCTACGAAACAAAGAGAAACTTTTGTTTAAAATGTATAATCTGTTATTAGACTGGGAAACAAAAGATGAGCCCTTCCTGTTGGGGATAATTCAGACGGAAATTCCCAGGTGTCTGAAAAGGTTATTTATGTGTGCCACCACTGCGGCCCGTGTTTTGTTAGCCCCAAAAGGGAAAACGAGTGAGGTCCCAACCAAAGGAGAACGGCAGCTTAAGTTGACTGAATATGCACAGCTTGCAGACTCAAGATATAGAATAAGAGAACAAGAAGAAAATGTGTTTAAAGAAGATTGGAAAATAATTGTGGACAGCCAAAAACACTGGCAGCATTAAGATAAATTCAGCAGTGTTAATAAGTTTTGAGGGATGTAATAATGGAATACTAATTGGTGTAGTTTTTGTAAAATATGCAGGGATTTATGATATGCAAAAGGAACCTTGGAAAGAAAAGAAGGGAAGTCACTGATATTTTAAGGATGTAAAATGAGTATTTTCAATTGTAAAACAGAAAATTTTATAAAAAAATATATAAAAACAGAAAGGGCAGAATCCTTGGCATGGATTGTGCCCCCCCCCCTTCCCCTCCCTTAGAGCATCACCCAGAAGGGCAGACTTTGCCTCCAACCACCAACCGCCCCTTAAAAACTAAGTGCAGAAGGCGCATTGTGGCATCTGCAAAATATTCCCCCCCTCCATTTCCTCCTGCAGGAGGGATCCCCACCTCTGCTTAATTCCACCAGAAGAGAGGGGTGTTTTCACTACCTGGACTTCTGCTGGGCAGTTTTCTCAGCCTGGAGAAAGTTGCTGTTTCCCTCTGCAAATTCTGGCAGCCTCTGGCTCTCTTCATTCCTCTGAGAGATCTGAATATGACGCAGGTTTTGAGTGCACATTAATAGCCGAATGTTGGACAGATGGAAAGCGAAAGTGTTTTCTTCTCAGTTGATTCATCCAATTGCACATCCATAAAAGGAGAACACAATAGCATCAAAAGAGTCCGGCTGAGGGGTCAGGCAAAAGGGGTCTATCACTGTCCAGCAGCCTTATGGTTCTGCAAACCAGATGCCATGACAGGAAACTCACAAACAAGACATAAGGTCAGTGGCTTTCCCCACACTTGGCATATTCAGAGGCATAGGAGGCAGCCTTATACAGAGTCAGACCATGTGCCATAGACTCATTACTGCCCTTGATCGGGACACTAGACTTCAGTGGAGGCAGCCTGGAAGAGCCTTAGCCTTTTTGTTGCTGCATCACACTGTGGGCTCATGTGAAGCTTGCGGTCTGCTGAGGAAGGAACTGATTGACTGTCTCCTCACAACAGAAGAAAGCCGGTTGCAACCAGAATGCTGTTGCTTTCCAGGTGCCAGAGCACAGCTGGAATACTGTGTCCATTTATGGGCGCCACAATTTAAGAAGGATGTTGACAAGCTGGAATGTGTGCAGAGAAGGGCAACCAAGATGATGAAGGGTCTGGAGACCAAGTCTTAGGAGTAACAGTTGATGAGGTTGGGGATGTTTAGCCCGGAAAAGAGGAGACTGAGAGGAGATAGGAGAGCCATCTTCACATATCTCAAGAGCTGTCACATGGAAGATGCACCAAGCTTGTATTCTCCTTCTCCGGAGGGTAGGACTCAAATCAATGGCATCATGTTTTGTTTTTTTAAAATAATATTTATTGAAGTTTAACAAATACAGAGAAAAAACAAGCAATAAAAAGATAAAACAGAAAAATACAATAAACAAGAAAAAGACAAAAACATTTTGAAACATTTTAAAAACAAAAACATTTCCGAAAAAAGAAAAAAGCAAGAAAAAAAAAGAATCCCTATTTTCCTAACCTTGTCTTTCATTTACTTATTTCCTTGACTTCCTCACACCTCCCTTTTTGTATTCTAGTTCAATAGTTTTTTCAGCAAGTCCTTTCCCTCTTTCTCAAATTTAGTTCCTTAATTTATCTTACCGCAGTTTCACCTTAAATTTAGCATTCATTCAATTTACCTTAATTTATTTAACCTTATCTTACTATAGATACCTTGACACTTGTAACTTGATGCTTACTTACATAACTCCTTATATCATTTCTACTAAAGCCAAATAATTTCATTCCAACATTTTCTCTAACATCCATTAATTTTACACTAATTCCCAAATAGAAATTTCCCTTTATAAACATTCATCCAATTTTCATCCAACGTCCCTTCTTCCTGGTCTCGGGATAAATCAGTCCTTACTGTCCATACCATCTAGTCCATCAACCTGGTTGTCTTACATCCGAGGCTCTCAAGTCTCTTCCATGCCCCTTCTGCAAATCTTCTTCTTCTTGTTTGTATTTGCACTTTCCCTTGTCTTTTGCTGGTCTCTTCCTTAATTTCTTTCCTTTCTCATTGAGGAGTAGGTCTCTGGGGGGTTCCAACACAAAATTATCTCCACCTCCCCTCATCAGACCATCCCACTCCCCCCAGTCCCACTCCCCACCGCCATCAACATGATCCAAAAAATATTTTACAACATGTTTCAAAGTCCCTCCAATGTCAAGGGCCTCCTCAGCTCCGAACTCCCCCTGGCGTAATCCTGATTCAGTCTTTGAAAGCAATGGTTTGTACTCCTGCAGGGCCTCAGATCCCTCCATTTGAATTACTTGGATTAAATCTTCTTCCATTGTCATCTGCTCTTGCACTTGTCTAGGCAAAGTAGGTTCCTTAAAAGAGCCCTGGGTGATGGGAGTGAGGATGTTTCACCCCTCCCATTGCAAGAATCTGCTGACAATGTTCCAGAAAGGAGGGGGGAGATTTTGCTCATCGCTTCTTCCCCTCCAGCCTGTGGGAGTCTGAGTGTTATCTGTATATAGATAAGGTGACTGCTCAAGCAGCTGTAACACTCATGCAGTCCAGCGTCTCCGATTAGTCTTTAGTTAGTTTATGCAGTAGCTGATGCGCAAGGACTGGGAGACAAAGCGGGGATGGTCGGGCCTGGAGAGCCACTGCAGAGCTCCCCTGCCCCCTCCCCGTCCCGCCCAGCTGGTGCGCAAAACTCCGTCCGGGTGGATGG